GAAGGTTTTGATTTCTTGAATATCTCTTTGAATCTGTTTCATGTATTCTAAATCTTTTTTAATGTTCATGCAAAGTTTCCCTCATTTTCATGCTCCTCTTTTTTTTTTTTTTTAATCTATGTCACCTTTGGAGATGCTTAGCAATTCTTTTACTGTTTTTCATTTCTTCTTTTTCCTGAGATAGTATTTCTGTTCTAAGTTCTTTTAGAGCTTCATGAAGGTGTTTCTTTACTTCAGTTGCCATCAGTTCAGAGACTTCGGGTGTGCAACTCCCAGTCTCTTCCATGTTTTCATCTCCTGGGCTTGCTCTGCGTATTTTGGAGGCCAGAGACTGCCTTTTGCTTATTTATCTTGACTTATTCCTGGGTTCTTCAAGACAAGTGGGTGGTGAGGTCCCAGACACTTTTTTGCATTGGCTACAATTTCTCTGAAGCATGACGTTTGATTCTCCTGACCAGTGCTGACTGTGGGTATTTGGTGGTGGCCATTGGGTGTGTTGGAGCAAGGCTGGCTGCTGCTTTTCTCAGCCTGCATTGGCTCCCTGGTGGTGGCTAGAATGTGTCTGAGGGTGAGGCTGGTTGCTGCCTCTAGAACCTGAGCTGGTTACTGGCAAAAAGCCTCCATGATGGCTGCTGGAGTACCAGAAATCTTATTTTATAACATTCAGGGGCTCATTGAGCACCAGAAAAATTGATTAGCATGCATTAGAGGTCACAATGGTTGAAAAATACATATAATTGTAGTGGTCATCTATAATTCATGTGATGCTCCCTCTACAGAGATCCCAGGGCACTCATCTCAGTGACAGTAGATTTTTCCCATGTTCACATGGGCCATGTGTTCATGTAGCACTACCTGGTGGAGTCAAAGCCACCATTTTAATTGATCTTCCTTTGCATCCCAATCCTTATCTCTCTGACCTCAATCTCCATTCTCCCAAGAACACATAGTTTGCTTGGACTATGAGGCTGGCCCTGGACAGGTAGAATCAGTCGTTCTCTGTCAGACTTTTCTCCTGCTCTCTCTGACCTTTGTGATAGCATTCTCTGCAGGCTTCCATCTTGGATCATTCCTGGTGACCCCTGGTAACGTGGCTGTCATTGCTGGCTTTTGTTATGTAAACTAAGAGTAGGTATCTTTTATTCAGTCTAGAGTGATTTGGGTCATTGATGCCATTGGGTAAGTAGACATTGGCCCAGACCACACATGGGACAGTAGTGTTTTGTGGCTGGTGATGACAGTTGGAGGACTTTCCTACTTGGCTCAAATGGACCAGGAGAGTTCTCTGGCCTAGTCTCTTGGGGCCATTCTTGTCATCCGTTTTAGAGACTGAAACTTCCATGTGGTTCCACAAGCTCCTGCTTTAGGAGGACCCCCTTCTCTGCTGAGCACAATTTCTGAGACCCAAAGAAACACTTACTCTATTGGAAAGTAAAATAGATAAAACCCTTGAAGACATAGTGTAGGCAAGGACTGTCTGAACAGAACCTCAATAGCACAAGAAATCACACCAGGAATCAACAAATGGGATCATAGCAAATTAAAAAGCTGCAACTGACAAAATGGATAATCTACAGAATGGAAGAAAAATTTTGTCAGCTATTCCTTGACAAGACTATACTAAGAATATAACAACTTTCTAACAACTAGACTATATAATAGCTAAAAAAATTTAAACATCTCCCCAAAATAGAAGACTCAGTCACAAAGTAGACAACTGACATGAATAGATACTTCTCAGAAGAAATACCAGTGGCCAGCAAATACATGAAAAATGTTCACTGCTGGTCATTAGAGAAATGCAAATTAAAGCACCGAGATTCCATCTTACTCCAGAAAGAATGGCTGTCACTGAAAAATCAAATAATAAAAAATGCTGGTGAGGCTGTGGGGAGAAAGGAATCCTTTTACATTGTTGGTGAGAGCCCAAATTGCTATAATCTCTATGGAAACCAATATGGAGATTCTTCAGAAAAAGTAAAACTAGAAACTTTGACTGTTATTCTCCTTATAGGTATTCTTCTAAAAGAGTTAAGGTTATCGTATTATGGTGATACAAAAACCCAAGTTTATAGCAGCACAATTCATAATAGAGCTAAATCTTGGAAATGACCTATATGTCCATCAACGGGTGAAAGGCTAAAGAAAATACAGTGTTTTACACACACTGGCACACTCTACGCCATAAAAAGATAAAGCTGAGGCATTTATAGATAAATGGATGCACCTTGGGACCCTAATGATAGCTGAAATAAATCAGACACACAAGTTCAAATATTGCATGATTTCTCTTACATGAAAAACCCAAACTATCAATAAAGTACAAAATAAAAGATAGAAATAGGAAGTAGGGAGATAAAGGGGAACAAGAGATGGAAGGAAGGGAGAGGAGAGGGAAAAAGAATTGAAAAAACATGAAGAGACCTTTTACAAATGGGAAGGGGACCAAGAGTTGGGAGGAGCAAGAAGGGATGAGAGGGCAGGTTACAAAAGAAGGGGAAAAAAGAAGTCAGGTATATTATGTATATGCACTATCTCCCCATGTAATCATTACGTACTGTAAACATATACTAATAAAAGAAATAAAAATATACATTATATATACCTAAATGTGTGGAGTAAACAACAACAACAACAACAACAAGAGAATAAAAACAATGTATGAGGCTCTTTCTTATTGACCTTCCTGGAGTTGTAATAAGCTGGATAGGCTGATGCTCCTTGCCTTTTCTAAGCTGGAAGAAGCGGGGGCAGGGAAGGCTTTGCACCCAGGCAGTGTTGACTATAGGCTCTGTTGCTCAACTACCAGACCCCGCACAAATGCTTTAGCCTCTTTGGGCATCTCTGATGACCGCTGCCCACTGTAAAACTGAATGGAATTACTTTCCTGGGGATTTTCTTTTACACACAGGGTTTTGTTATGTTTCTTTTAAACGCAGGGTTTGTTAGGCTGACCTTGAACTCACTATGCAGCCCAGGCTACCCTGGAACTTGCATTGATCTTTTCTCCTCAGCTTCCCAAGTGCTGGGATTACAGGCACGTACTACCATGAGCAGTCCTGTGGGAGGTTAATATGAGGAAAAAAGTTATGCAAAGTGCCTGGCATGCACACACGGGGCTATCAAATATACAGTGACTGGTGAAGGTTTGTGGGCCTGACCTAGAGATGAGTCACAACATTTCTAAGAGACCTAACTGGATGAACACCAGCCCTTGCACGGTCATGCGGCAGACACAGGCATTATTTAGAAGGATGGAGCCACTCCCAGCTGGACACTGCACCCCGCATTCCCCAGGAACCCTACCCACTTCCTCTTTAAGGAGATCACTGGTGTCAGCCAGAACTGGCCCACGGTGGCCCACTCCCCACCTTCCACCTCACTGCTCATATGTCCTTCAGGTCTTGCCACTTTTTAAACCAATTATGAAGTCTTTTTCCTCTCTCTTCAAGGTGCAACCAAAAATAAGGTGAGTGAATCTGCTGAGTGCCATCTGATGAAAGACAGGGCTGTTAAAACACTAGTGTCATCCAACTTATTCACTGGAGCCGGCACTGTGTGACTTCTGGCCTTTCCCTAAGTATGAGATAACTAGGAAATGTAACTATGAAAGGTTTTAAATTTGATTCAAGATGTCAAGGCAGCCACAACAGTGCTACTGAAGATACTCACTAAGGATGACTTCTGGGACGGCTTCAGAAAGTAATAAGAATGACAGAATAACTTTTCAAAGCAAGAGGGACTATTTGAAGGGGCATTAATGACACTGTCTTTTGCTGTAATCAATTTTCAAAAAACTTTAAGCACTCACCATATTTTCACAGTTAGCTCACAATCTGGAGCTTCCAGTGATAGCAAACAGCCCGCTGCAGCACATGTGCCATAGGTTTGCCACCACTGCTGCGGGAGTGCACACATTGCTGGGCACAAATTCCTACTCAGGAGCTAGCTGGGTGCCAGACTGGGGTGATTCTTTGGTCTCTCAGCTGCTGGTCTCTCATTTATAAGATGAGGTAATAATATTTATTGTTTACGATTCTGTGGGGATTAAGAGGTCAACCCGTCAATGCAGTTTCTGGCTCAAAAATCATTACCTGGTACTGAATAGACTCCTATGCTCGCTCAGCTGTAGGTTCTGAATGGGCAGGTACCTCTCCGAGGCACTGCTGGCCCACTGGCTGGCATGAAAAGGGACCTTGGCAGCTAATGAAGGAGAAAACAGTTTACTCTTTTCTTCCTGGATCTCAGGAGACCCTGTTTGAAGGATGCAAGATTAAGGGCTAGTAGGAATTTAAAAGATAAGCAACCTGAGAATAGGTTCATACAGTAAAATAGGGCAACTTTTCAATGGGTCAGCAAGGCAAAAACAAAAAGCTCACCTGTGTAATATAAAGGTAGTCTCACAGGACTTGGGCCACACACACAAAAAAGCTCTGGAAATGTGTACTAAAATTTCCAAACCAAAGGCAAATGGATTTGAAATAAAAATATTACATATGATTTGCTAAAACATTTTAGAATAAAAAGTATTTTAATGTAAAGTATTTTAATTATAACTCCCTGTAATACGGTCGCTCTGGAACTGTTTCCCTTTTTACAAAGTTTGAGGGTTGGGTTAGCTCCACGGGGCCACACAGTCTTTGATAAAATGTTTAGACATTTTCCTAAACACAAGAGTAGTCCACACAGTCTGATTCATGAGGTTCAAAGTCTGGACTTGTCCCTTCCCCTGCTGCTCTATGCTCATCCCCATTCTGCCTTTTGTGCTGTATCTCACGTCAGCTTTTTCCCTCGCCATACCCTTCCCCACCTGGGTTGCTCCAGCCTCCAGCAACGGCCTATTCCTCTTCGCTTATAGTGTTGTCTGGTATTTTTGTCACACTCTACTCCATGACCTCACAGGTTATTATTACCTTCTGTGTGTTAATGAATTAATTCAGCAGGCATGTGAGGAACAGCTGCTATGTGCAGGAGCTGTGGTGAGGACTAGGGATGGAGACCATGAGGACAGGTCTCCTGTTCTCAGTAGCCTGGGGTCTGGGCAGGGACAGTTACATAAATCCATCTTTGGAGCCAGTGTGAGAAGACCAGAGATAAGCATGGCAGGATTTTTATGGGATCTGAGATAACAAGTCTCTAACACTGGGGAGGGGAAATATGCAGGAGGCTTAGGGTGACTTCTGGATGAAAGGACATTGGACTGATTCTTCAAGGCTTTGACTAGGAGAGAAGAGGAATTGAGGTGCTGAGCAAAGGTGGGCAAAATGTCAGTGCAGAAGCTGTTCATTCTGCTCTATGTGTTTAGCGAAAGGATGAAAGAGTGGGAGATGAGGCTAGGAAGTCAGGGAGGAACAAAACAGCACAAAACAACGGGACAGCCAGGATATCCCTCTTCTACTAAAAGAATTCTGGATCTCAAGTGGGGACAACCTCTAGGGTAGCTCACAGAAGGCCAGAGGTAGTGTTCAGTGATTTCTTCACTGAAATACCACACAGAGGCCACCGCGGCGAGCAAAGCTGACAGGGTCTCTGCCCTCTAGGACTGTGTGGAAGACTAGCTCATGGCTCAGTCAGTAGTAAAATGTTACATAGACCAGGCGCTGTGGGAGCCCCTGGGACAGACCCTGACCCACTTCAGGGCCAGGGCTTCCTGGAAGAAGGGTTCTTGACAACTGGGCTTCACGGGGGTGGAAGACACGGGGAGCAAAAGACCCTGTGCGGTGAGAGATCTCAGTGGTCTGTCTTTCCCTTAGCTCTCTAGAGTTCCAGGATCTGGCTCATGCAAGATCAAGAGGATCACAAGTAGGCCAGAAAGAGACCTCCAGAAATCCTGCCTGTTTTGTGGCCTCCTGGGCTGGCTCTTGGAACATGTGGCTGTTTTGCAAACACAGTGAGTCAGGCCAAATATGTAAAGTCTGGTTCTGGTTCAGTCAATCCAGCTCACTAAGCAAACAGTAAGAAGACTCCCCTCTCCCTGCCCATACACACCCGCTTCTTTGTAATTGAAACCGTGTCTCTGGGTGCATAATTTATAAAATTTCAGCGAGCTGCAGTTTGGCTTTGTTCCCAAGAAAGAAAAACATCTCAGATTTTCCATGTACTCGCCCCACCCCGCTGGCTGAGAGCCAAGACTTCTCTAGCAAGGCCTGGGCTGGGGCGGAGGAAGAGCAGCTATAGCTGCTGCCACCACTCCAAGGGGCAGCACCGGCAAGGATTTCAGAGGTGGCTGAAGCAGGGACACACCAGGGGGGTGGCCCTCCAGGAGTGGGAGGGTGGGAAACAGGTGTGTGACTGGGGGCGGACAGGAAACTGCAGACAGACAGCAGCGTCGCTGGGAACTGTGCTGTCACCAGCAGACCCCGGAATAGCTCATTACTCTTTGCAATGCACCTTTTCATCTCATTTGAGTTTCCCACTAACCACGTGAAGAGGATCACTGTCCCTGTATAGCTGATGAGTTGCTTGAGAGTGAAATGGCAACTGGAAATTAATGTGACCTAGTTAGAATCCCAACTCTGCCACTGGGTGATCTTAGCAAGTTGCATAACCTCTTGTAGCCTTGTCTGCCAGGGATATGGTGGTGCTTTCCCTGAGGGTTAAGTGGATACTGTGTGTGGGGAGTTCCCTCCGCAGGAGTTCCCTCAACTCCTCCTTTCTATTAAAACCTGACTCCATGGGTACTGCTGCCACTGTGACCTCTGTGTTTTGATTACCAGCACAGCCATTTATGGCCAACCTACCCCAAGAAAATGTGAGTTTTGTGCCTGCATATTGCGAGCTCCGAGGTCTGGCTTGAAAGCTGAGAAGCCTGTAAATTCAGTAGGACCATCATTCAGTCCAAATTCCTGCCTTGCCCTGCAGGAACAAACCACTGGAGAAATTGCACAGTGGGTGAAACTTAAGCTTCAGAACACGAGCCCCAGTTCTCAGTAAGTCCATTTCCTCTTTTAGTCAAGGGCGAGCATCCAACTCCCTCTTCATTTGTCACTGTCACTGTGGCTCCCAAAGGTCAGCACACATTCCTCTCTTTGCCTCTGACACCTGGCTTGGAACACTGATTAGACTTAGAGGCTGGGGTGCCTCACAGAGCCGTGGGCACTCATTAATGTTTCTACAGGGTGCCTATGGTATCAGAGTGTGCAGAATGACAGCCTTTCCTGTGTGCAGGCTCAGTGGTTCCTGTGTTACAGACCCAGACTAACTCCCCAGTGAAAATTCTGTTTCATAGATATTCCCTCTGGCCTCTTACCTTAGAATGCCAACTCTTCATGGAATTCTCAGGCCAATAGTTGCCTCCTTAGGAATCTTCTCTGACCATTCCACCAACAGTGGCTCCTCTTCCCTTAACCAAGGCACTTTCACGTTCTCCTCATTGTCCAGTTATTTGTCTATTGTCTTCATGATTACAACATAAGTTCTATGAGCGCAAGACCTTGTTATAGTCACTGTGGTTTCCTAGTACCTGGCATGCATATAACCAAGAGTTAAATAGCTACTCATTTATGGATAAGTGAAACAAATTTAAGGTCATGAGACCCAGTATCCTCTATTTAGAAGAGGAAAAGGGTTAACATTTTAAAAGAGAAAATAGAATCAAGACTCTGAAAGTTACTAAATGTCAACTCACTATGGTCATAGCCCAGAATCATGGACTATTTTGCAGTAGCTTTTTCTTCAATTTTGAAGGGTCTTTGGAACAAATACATGGTCCACTTTTCTGTTTTTGAAGGAGAAATATTTTGTGCCTCTGAAGAGTTATAGTACTAAAAATATCTGACATATTCCCTAATAAGCTAAAGAACACTTTGCATGTTTACACGGAAAATGGAAAACACAGAGATCCACATGCAACCATCATGAAAAGAAATTAGAATGGGCTTAAATGTGGGTAAGGAGTGATGAAATGAAATGATGTCACCCTGTTGGATGTCAGCCAACCCGGGAAACACTAACAGCGGTCACTTTTACTTAGATTGGGGGGAAAATTCACCCTTCTAGATTCTAGAGGAATCTAGTCTGAAAAGCTTCCTTGGAAGAGGTGCATGAGGGGCCAACGCAAGCTGAGCATGGTGTTTCACACTTGTTATCCTAGCACTCAAGAAGCTGAAGCAGGAGGATTGCAAGTTCAAATCCAGATTGGGCAATTTAGTGACTTGGTGAGACCTTGTGTAAAATAAAATAAAGTAAAATAAAATAAAATAATAATAAATAGAAAAGGGTAGCTCAAGGAAAGGCCCTGGGTTAAATCGCAGCACCACAAAATAAAGAAAGAGCAAAACCAAAAAATGAGCACACTATATCTACACGGCAAGGGATGGTTCTTTTATCCCTAAGAATAGATTATTCTGCCTGAGGGTTAATTTGCTTCCATGTCTCACTGACTCTCACTGATTTTCTCATATTTATTCCACGGAATGTGGCAGGAAATGAATCATACACAATAGCGACATGAACCAGCATGCTGGCTCTAGCACATGGTTACACAGGCAGTAAGGCGCTAATAATAATTATTATCTTAGCAGCCGCTAGTTTTCTTATCTTACACTTTCTATGTCCTGGGCAGTGTGCTAAAGGCTTAGTTGTACTACCTCATTCAGTTGTATGAGGTTGGAACTATTGTCCTGTTTAACATAAGAAACAACCATTCAATCCTACGAGGAAGAAACCATTTTTATTCCTATTTTATAAATAGAAAGTGGAACTGGGAGAGGTCAAGAGTTTGCCTGAGGTTGGTTAGCTGGTAAGGGGTGTAGCCAGAGTTCCGGCTGTGCCCGTGGTGTGACCCAGGACCACAATGCAGTGTACTTCCTCTACCACCTCCCAGGAGGCCAGACGTGATGGGGAAGTACACCAGGAGAGGAGTTGTGTTCGTCAGTCTCTTGTGTTGTCTTGAGACCCTTTATTTTGTAATTGATCAGATATCTCCTAAAACCTTACAGGGTTATAAACGAAAGGGAGTGAATTTTAAGAGAAGACATCTGGGTCAGCACAAATACTGTCAGAACCATGATAATTCAATGAATTAAGTTCCAAGCAACATTTTGCTCTCTCACTGCACCACCTTGCACCTGGAAGGCAAGGATCACATTTTGTGTTTGATTAAGTGAGGATGTGTGTGTGAAGTCAATGACAGTACTTGGCAGGAAGTAGGCATTTAACTGAAAGACACCATCTCCCTAATGCCTTCCGCAGTGCTTAACACGCATTAGCTACTTGTTACTTGTTGATAGTAAGCATTTATTACTTGATAAAAATAAATATTTTGAATCTCCATGCTAAGCATTTCCAGAAATTATTGTTTCTGACCATTACATTGAAACAGTGAAGTATGTTAACTCTGCTATTTAACAATGAGATTTCCTTTAATGAGATTTTAATGACGCTGAACTATCAAACTGGCAGCTGGCAGAACCAGGGGTTCAAATAAACGGGTGCTCAGAATCTCCTCCCATTGTTTCCACAGTGCCTAAGAAGATGACTGTCACTCTCTGAAGGTCTGTGACTCAGAGATTAGCATTTCTTACAAAAAAATTTTTTTTAATTCTACACAATATTTGCCTTTTCTTACGTCTGTGGTTAATCCAACCTAAATTAATGTTTTAAATCATTGACAAGTTTCATTCCCCAGCTCACTTTCTCTACCAACTCCTTGATTATCTTGATGCTTTAGAAGATGAACTGTCTGTTCTGTGGCTCCCCACTCTGGCAGACGACCAGGGATATACCTGCTCAGATTGACCCTGCAGCTGGAGGAGTCTGGTAAGCTTCCTGAGAGCAGAGAGTTGTGAACTAGAATGTAACCAGCTGACAGAAGCAAAGCTGGGACCTGGTTTAATTCTTCTATCCATCCCCTGCTCCATATCCACAGCCTTCCTCACTTCATCCTTAGGTGATGGCAGAGCAGAGCAGAGGCTCAACCCAGAGCTCAGGACATTACAGTCCCTTCTCCAGTAGCGAATAAATGACTGATCAGTGGATGGATGAGGTTTGCTCAGTGATGGCATCAGCATCCTCCTGGAAAGGCCAAAGACCTGAAAAGAGATGAGAGTTTTTTGCTTGCTTGTTTTTTATTATGAAGAGGCTATCTGGAGGAGGAGGCTGAAGTGACAAGGACAAATCTCCAAGTCCTTTCTGGATCTTCTTAGGCTATTGCTAATAATGCTGTGATACCTACATGTCAGTTAGTTAGGGATCATCTTAGCACAGGACACCTGGAATCAAATGGAGGGCCCTACAGATTTTCTTGTTCATGATTCTCATTTTAAGATAAGGAAATTGAGGCAGGGAGAGGAAAAATGAATGACTCAAGTCAGGAGGGTCCAATGCTCCTTTTTCCTTCTTAGAAGACCTTAATTTTGTATAATGCTGGCATTCCTGATTTCAGGAAAGCCCTTACCTTTTTATCCTCCAGAGAGTGCATTTTGATAAGTTTGAGGCAGTTGTAATAATTCTGTCCTCTATGCCAGTGGCTGGCTTGGGGATGAGCATGGGATCCAGTTTCAGCAAATGAAACATGGATAGTAGCTTTTTGTTGGTCTTTAGGGAAACTTTCCCCTCTCTTAGAGAACAATCATGTAAGGACTGTACAATCTTATTTTCTTTGATTTTTGGAATTTTCTAGACAAGGACAGGATAATTAGAATACTTGCAAGAAGAGTCAAGCTAAGGACAGATGCCAACACACTGATAAATACCCTGAGCCCGCAGTGGTATCAGCTATGCAACGTCTCTGAACTCTTTGTTAAATGAGATAACAGAATGTCCTTTATGTTTTGAATAGTTATCTTGTACTTTAAGGTACTGGTTACTCAAGGGGTCCTCATTGATACAGCAGGTAGGACCTGATTCTCAGTCTAGTGTTGGTTGACAAGGCTCTGAGCTTGCTTCACGAGATAGAAGGCACAAAACAGCTCTTTCTACCCTCAAAGTTTTATTCTGCCACATATCCTAGTTGTGCTGTTTCAGGATGTTACCAGGGACTCTGCCTCCTTCCATGTCTCTGACCCATCTTTCTAGGATGTGGTCTTACTCCATGCCCATGACAGCTGCAAGAGGTCCACCATCACATCAACATTCCAGACAATTAAAAAAAAAAAGCAAGAAGAATGCTACCTCTCCCCATTTTGCTACTTGCTGCCTTTTAAAATATTTTTATATGTTCACAGTACATAATGTTTACACTCCTTGTGTAGTAAGGCTGAAATAGGGTTTTGCTGTTCTTTGAGGAGCTCCTCCTCGTCTCTTCTCTCTCCTTTCCTTTCTTTCTCCGTCATCACCAAGTACCAACACAGGGGCTCAAAGTAGATTTTGTAGCTTACTATGTTTAATATTTACTTTTCTAATATATAAATGCTCAAAAAATGTGTTTGATGACCAAGGTTACATATAGCTCCCTTTGCTTTCCAGCTTTTAGGACAGGGTTCATCCCTCTAAGGCCTGAACAGAGCTGGGCTCCAAGTGTTAAGACTGCATAAAGCATTTGATGAAAAGCAATGAGCATTGGTGGCCAACTGCGTTAAGCTGGAGGACACAGCCGCTTGGAAATGAGGCCTTCCCTAAAAAGGTAAGGTCTTCCTTGAGACCAGGGATGTCATTCAATTCTTACAAGAGATTTTCAAGTAGAAATATAGAGCCCATGTCACCATTCCTTTTGTTGTTCTGAAGTTAAAAGTCTATAGTTTTATGTTTAAAATGAGTTTTTTGGTTTTTTGGTACAGGGGTTGAACTCTTGAGTGCACGCTTGCCAGGTAGATACTTAAGACACTGAGCTAAATCCCCAGCCCTAAAATGAGCTTTTAAATGTTAGGTCAACACAGTGTTTGTTGGGTTGGGACCAAATGTGGAGATAAAATGTTGCATTTCATTACTTCAACAGCATCTGAAATATTTATTGGATAAATAGATTGAAGTATTTCAAATTGCTTTCTTCCCACCAGAAGATTAAATCAAGCATCTGGAACAACCAATGAAAGACAAAGACACTCTGTCTGTCTTGCACTTGTTAGTTCTTTCAGTGTTGTTTTATTACTCAAACTGTAATCTAAGCAACTTGAAGGAAGAGATTTCTTCATCACATCATCCTCTTCCTTTTCCATTAGAGATCCCCGAAGTCCCCCATGATTTTCATTCTTGAATCTCTTGGGATGGAACATGGTCCCATTTCTCGCACCTTGAGAAAATCAGTCTTTACTTAAGGACGGTTATTCAGCTAAAAACTGGAATTCTTTCACTAATGAAAAATGGAGGAAGTGATATTGGGGAATCATTAGCAGTGTCATGATTTTGAAGAGAAAATTATAGAGTATTGTAGTTGTTAGACACTGAATTCCACACTGCAGTAAATAACATATCAAAGTCAGAGGTGATCACTGATTCTCCAGGTAAGGTATCTGCAAACCACAGTAATGAAGGAATTTAGCTAGGGTCATACCAAAAAAGGAGCTGTCCTATTTAAGTAGGCATTGTGTGATGTCTCCACCCACTCTTTTGAATGCCCGAATTCCAGCACTGAGCCCGCATTGATTCTTGCAATGGTGATGCAATCAGGCTCTCTAACCTTTCTACCACCCTCTGAACTCAGCATTGTCTCAACCTCTTCCTAATCACATCTTTGCTTAATGTCCATCTCAGTCCCTCCAGCCTGAGAATGGCTCATAATTGTTGTCACAGGGAGTTACTAAGATTGATTAGTCAAGTCAAGACCATCCAAGTCCCAGGATGGTCTCCCATGGATAATTTGAGGGCTTAATGGGAAAGAATATCGGGATTAATTAATGAGGTCTGCAGTAGTTGTTACTGACAAATAGTGACCCTTGGGCAAGATTTTCCCTATGCCCTCCCTTCTTTTTCCCCTTGGTAAGGAAAAGCCCTCAAAGAGGGCTTAGCTTACAAAGTATCTGGTACTCGCTTGGGACACCCTGTTCTGCCATGTTAGATGAATCTCCAGGCATGCTGCAGCCATCTGCGAGAAGGGGAGGTTGTGGTGTGATTTTTCACATATCAAAAGCTCAAGGCCATCCATCACACCAGCATGACTATCTGATCCTGTCTTGCATCAGAAAGATAACTCTTATCACCACTCCACAAAGTGAGTTTATAAAAATAGGAGCAGGCTGTGACCAGTGCCCTGGAGTTACCCAGGCAACCTCCCACTGGGGCCTCACAGTGGCCAGTGACAGCTCTCTCACAGGTCAGACACTAATTATATCTTCCCCATGGTGACAAGGACAGTGTCAGAGAGCATGCCAGCCACATGATCCTTCCCAGTCACAAGGGGAGAAATGTGGAGCACTCTGCCCTCAAAGTCTATTCCTGAACCAGACTGAAGCCCAGACTGAGAATAGATTCCTTGCATTCTGGCCAACTGTGCTTCTTGCGTTCTCCAGCTGGGACATCACGTATCACACTCAATCAAATATGCAGGCAGCTGTGGAGGAGGGGTAGGACTCTTGGCATATCTTGAGAGAATTATATGCATGAGGGAGAACTTCTGCCCATGTCTGGACTATGGGAAAAAGGCAAGTCCTGGGTTGTTGGGGCTTGAGGGGAGAGGGCTGAGAATATCTTTTATCTCCCACAAATCCATAGAAAGTGCCAATCTAGTTCATTCTACAGTGACTCCAAAGATAATGTCGTGTATTTCATCAAATGTACCTATTCTTTCCCCAAACTTAAATTTGTTATGATAGCTCAGCTAAAATTTTAATTGCATAGGTATTACATTAATACATTTTATTATAAAAACCCTCAAAAATTAACAAGTAAGGAAGAAAAAAAAAAAAGAAATTTCCCTCTTTCCCTTATTTTCTTCAGTTCCACTTCTAGAACTAACTGTGGTCAGGAGTTTGATATATATCTTTCACATTTTTTTGTATACACTCACTCACACACACACACACACACACACACACACACGCACAGATACATGAATAGAATACAGTGCCTGTGCACCACATGGCAGTCTACTGTAAAGATATACCATAGCTTTTAAAAATCATTCTCTGTTTGGTAGGCATTTAGGTTTATTTCTCTTTCTTTCTTTTTTTTTTTTTCTTCAGAGAACAAGGGCCTAAGTAAGAAAAAGAGGCATTTCTTACAGACCCTCAGCCCAGAGAAAAGCTTCTAAATATCTAATTCCAGGAAACTGGCAATGGTATCAGGGAGCAAAGAAATCTTTATATTCCAATTGATCAGACAGATTGTAAGACTGGAACAGACACAGGCGGTTGTTCACAGAACAACACTAGCATAGGCATTGCCACCTGTAATTTCAGAGCACTCCTGCCTCCTGCATGAGGCAGGTCTGGGATCTGAAGGAATATGCCACTGGGATGGGCAACCATTTACAAGAGTATGCATCAAACTTCATAAGAGTCTTGTCTGAACCTTACTCATTGTGGTAGGTTTAACCACCAGGTTTATTCCTCCCTTCTCCACCAACTCGAAACCCTTTGAATTATTCTGATTTTGTTTAGGATGGCACTGGCCTGGCCTCCCAGGATGAGTTATAGGTAGTCAAAGTCAATGACTACAATTCCATTCACCAGGCTCCCTTACAGCTACAGGTGGTTCATATAACTGTTTGGACCCATGTGGTCTGTGTTAGTTTTCTATTAGTCTAACAAATACTGGAGACAATCAACCGCTAAAAAGAAGAGGGTTGCTTTGGCTCATAGGTTCCGCCCTTCAAGCTAGCTCTGTGCTTCGAGTGAGGGAGTGCATCATTGCAGGAGTGTGTGGCTGGGCAAAACTGCAAACCTCATGGCCTGAATAGAGAGAGGAAAATGAAGGGGAAGAGGAAGGGGAAGGGGCCAACACCTCAACCATCCCCTTCAAGAGCACATCTCAATAACCTGAAGTCCTCCTACTAGGTTTCCCAAAATTCCATCACTCCCAGGGGTGTCATCCTGGGAACTAAGCCTTTAGCACTATACTTTTAGGGTAAATTTCAGGTTTAAACTATAGCACAGTCTGAGCAGAAGTCAGCTGAATGATCCTTAGGAAGGCCTTTGCCGGCATGCACTATTCTCTCTTGTTGCCTTAAATGGAGATATAATATCTACAGCTGTGTCACTGTGGGATATGCAGAAAACAAGGCTGAAAAGCTATTGCACTGAAGATTTAGGGTGGGAGGAAAGGAACCCGAAGGAATTTTGATGACCTTGTTCAGCTGCTGCAACAGCTATGGACCATCTGCCATAGACTTTTTGGTGTGGAGAAAAATAATCTAATTTTTTTTTTAAAAAGGCACAGCTTATTAGACTTTCTGTTATTTGTGGCAGACGGCAAGACAGCATTCCTGCTGAATGGCCTGCTTTTCCTGAAGCTCTGTGATTGCAGGGATACAGTCTAATATGCTTCCCATGGTGTCGAGCTGTGCTCAGGTACAGGAGCTTCCAGGTTAGGCTTTTGGAGATTCCTCTCTTCTGATTCTGATTCTGCTGGTTCAACAGAGGTGGGGCTTCCCCAGATGTGCAGATAGATGCATCACATCCAGCCCATCGCAGTAACATCTCTGCTGTCTAAGGCCCTTGAGCTCAGTCATAGTTTCATTACCGGAAAATACAAGACCTAAAACGCCTCTCTGAAAGATGAGAAGTAAAATTTTTCTTTATTCTTTTCTAACTGAACACTCTTGCATAGTATAAATGTGTGCTAGTCTCATATCAAATACCATTCGTGCAGGGGAAGCTAGGGAAAGCTTTTCATCTGATAACAGTCAGTTTGGGGAGTGTTAGCTGGCACATTGTACAGGCGGGAGAGTGTTATCTTGTGGAAAGTGAAGTGGTCCTTTAGTGAAGTGGAAAGATAATATTTTAAGAATCTTGTTAGCTGTTTCTGTAAGAAGACCTCATGTTATCAAAAATTAAAAGCATAAAAGAGCATCCTGAGTTTGTTGAATGTAATCAGGCCCTTGTGGACTACTCTAAAACCAATTTAAGGCCAAATATGGCTTCAAAGCAAGGGATGAATCAGCCCTTAGCCATCAGGCTTTGGATAAGTATTATTGGGGCTGCTAATCTTCTAATATTTAATAGTAGAAACAAAGGTGTTTTGGAGTTCCTAGACCAAGCTGGGATCCAGTTTCCAGTCCTTATTAATAATGTAACTTTGGACCATGTATTTTCTCCGTTTCTTATTGGTTTCTTCCTTTGTTATACTATCTGCCTCATGGGTGGTTATAAAAATTCAAATAAAATCATACAGCAAAACGCCAGGCACGTAACACTGCACCCCCGAGTACCTTTCCTAACACAGCGCCCTGCTGCTGCCACCCCCTCTGCTGCCCAGCCTACCGCTAGCGCCACTGCTGTTATTCACAACAAATAAAGCAGCTTCCTAGCATTGTTAGTTTCTTTGATTCTAGAAGAAGAAGACAAACCTACATTTTAATAAACTAGGATGGAAAAATCATAGGATCGAATTCTCTTTTCTTGAAAACACATCATCTTCCTTTGGAGCCTGAGAAGAGCATCTGGCAGGAAAATTGGTCTTGCTGCTTTAGGGCGAAGGAGACAGGAGCAGTGCATCTCCCTCCAGCATTCCGACTCTGCAACTGGGTTTTGGAGTTGAAGTCTTTGAGAGAAGTATGCCAAGTATCTAGGCCGCTGCTCTGTTTGCGGGGTTGCTCAGGAAGAATTTGTACTTTCCTCCCGAGTTAACTCCTCTGAGTCCCGTATGCAAAGGCTGCTCTCCTCGCTCCCTGCAGATACTGTGATGAGTCATTCGGAGTCTGCTCAAAGGTGGGTGTGAGGGCAGCATTGCAGCAGACATAAAGCCGAGTCCTCTGGGTCCCATTTCCACAGCTGACAGTAAATCCAATGCTTTTCATTGTGAGGGATGCTACTATACCTTTGTGTCTAAAAAACTTCTTCCTTTTGAAAATTGTAATGTACTTTCCTGAAAGAATATATAGACAAGCAAAATGAGGAAAATAAAATTGTCTATAATCATAACGTACCAGCATTAGCAAACAGTCTGAATGCTTTCAATCTTTTTCCTATGCTTATTTATATACTTTATGTTCAAACTGGAATGAAATCATATTCCATAAAAGTCTTCAATATAGTCCCATTGATCAGAGAGATGTCACTCCCAGCTTTCCACTTTTTTGATGCTTGCCTTCAGCATTGTTTTTAATGCTCATGGAATTCTAAGGCATGGAAGTATCCCCATTTGCTACTTTATCTAACCAACTTGCTGTTGTTAGGCATGAAAGGTGCTTATAATTTTTCAAGATTACCAAGAATGCTGTGGTAATTAACAGCCTCTTGATTTTTCTTTTCACCCAGAACCGAGGCCTGGCACATGATTTACTGAAGGGGTATCACATTTTAAAGATTGAAACTACTGACATTATCAGCTGACCTTCCTAGAAGACCACATCTACATGCAGAGTGTGAGGCAGCCCCTGGTATTTTCAAGGTGCTGTCTCAGTGGCTTCCCAGCACAGCTCTCCATGATAGGCAGGGTGGACATGACTACTCCGATTGTAGAAAATGAAAGTTCTCAATTCCAAAGCGGTCCCCAAGGAAACTCTCAGAAAACCAAGTCAAGTGGACTGCCATAGAGAGACACTGCCTGGATGAAACAGTTAAATGCTGCGCTCAGGTTAACAAAATCAAGTAACTATGGTATTATTCTAAAGCCCTTCTTTCATATTGTCTTTTTTCTTTTAGTTTTACCTTTTTTTTTTCCTACCTGGGATTGAACTCACCACCCCATGCTGGCCTGGCAGGCACTTGTGCCACTGAGCTAAGTCCCCAGCAGTTTTACCTTATTTTTGATTGGTGTGTAATAATTGTACATTCTTTTGATTGTAATTGTTGCTCAGTTATACAGACTGGCTGACCTCTTTTTTGAAATGGGGTCTCCCTAAGCAGTTCAGGCCAGACTTAAGCTCACTGTGTAACACAGGCTGACTTCAGCCTCATGGCAATACTCTTGCTTCAACCTTGCAAGCTCTGGGATTACAGGACTGTACCACCATGTCTGGCTTTAGACTGGCTGAACTCTTGTCCAAACCCTGCCTTTGTTTGTCTTTAAGAACAGGATGTTTATGAGCAACAGTCATGTGTGACCAGATCCATTGAAACGGAGACTCAAGATGACCACTTAAATGACCTCTAACAGACCTCAAACCCCATTTTAATTCAATCTCCGTGCTAGATGACACCCCCAGAGCCATGAAATTTGACAGCTAGCAGGAGGATGGTGTGTAAGAAAAGCAATAGGAACAAAAGAGGCAGCCCTGCAATTCCTAGCAAATCTCTACTTATTCCCTGAAAAAGACATAAATATTTCTCCCCCTTACAGCTTTTCCTCCTCCTCATTCCTTTTGCCCTGTATCTGGGCAGAGATGAGAATTTGACTTGTGAACTAGGCCAGCACTTCTCTATTCTTTGACCACTGAATAAATTTATGCTGTTGGCAATCAGTCTGTTTCCTTTTTGGCTTTTTGCGATACTGCATAGAAAAATATCCTTTTTGGGGAGTCTCTTTCTCTTAGGAGAAAAAAGGGTAACAATTAGATATGGAAGACAATTATTGTTAGGTGTTTGGCAATAAAACCATGCGATCTGCATATAGGAGAAAATTTTGCTTTCTGTTTTCTGTCCTGAGAGCAGGCACCTGGGGAATCAAGAGTCCGTTTCATCCAAGAGAGCAGAGTGGTTAAGTGACTTAACAAAAGGTCTCTTGGTGAGTTAGTGCAACTCAAAACTGGAAGTCAGGTCGTCTAATTCCTACACCAGCTCCCTGTGACAAAGAATGCTCTTTTCTAAGACAGCTGGGCTCTCACCACTGGGCAAGATACTCAAACTTCTATAGTTTCCTCAACTAGAGCAATCAACTGAGGATCCAGGTAAATACAGCTTCCAGTCCAGAAGTCTGGTATGAGGCCTGCCGTTCTGCTTCTTGAAAGTTCCCAGGCAATGCCTTTGGGCCAGACCACTCTGAGTCACAGCAAGCCTCTAGAGAAAGCAACAAAGAAAATGACCTCGCTGAAGACAGGACTACTTGGCACTTTAACTGTACAGCATTTTAACTAGTACAGCACTTTAACTGCTGGTGACTGCTGGTTGTTATGAGAGTCTTAAAATAAAGGTCTTATTCCTTTTCTGCCAGAAACATACCAAAGGGAAACCAGCTCAACAGTCCAAAGGAAGTTCTGGGGCTCTGGTGGCCAAGCACACTGCTCAGACACACCTACCAATAGCACAAATCAGAGCCTTGGTTGTGCGGGAGTGGCAGCCAGAAGAAAAGCCACTCTGTTAACATTCCAAAGGCGTTCCCAGTGTCCCCCGGGGTCCTCATTAATTACCTGGAGAATCACCAAGGGTTCTGGATCGGATGAGCTTCCTACCAGTGTGACATGCCAGCCCTTCTGACGCTGAGATGTTGAAAAGCAGCACTTAATGAGGAGAGGGAAGGAAACAAAGCCAGGCACAGAGGCAGAAGAGCTTTAGGCTGTGAGATTTCAGAAGCATAGTCACGACCTGCTCCCTTGCAAGCAGAGGCAAAAGATGTCAGTGCTGTTCACAGTTTTGGGCAAAGAGCTTTGGGGATGCAATCGTAGTGGTTTTCAAGCTTGGGAGTAGGCAAGAGAGGTGCGTTTGCTGCCATGGAGGAGCAGATGGGGCCATGCAGGGCCAAGCCTGCGGCGAGGGAAGGAGGCCTGCGTGGGCTTGTTTCTTCAGATTTGGAACCGGAAATGTCAGCATTAAAACTAAAGCACCAGAATCACAGGAAAGGATTTAGAGATTACATAATCCTGGTGTTTTGAATTAATATTTGCTGGAGCTGCGAAGACTCTCAGTGAAGAGATTTCAGGGGCTGCTGCTGGTTGTGAGGTGTGAGAAGATTTGGAGTGGTCCTTCAGCCCCTGTTAAACCTGCTTGGTGTCTGCTTCGTGCATTTGGTTCTCTGAATTCTCCTGATTTCTGTAAAGGGTTTTGTACTTGAAAATTGCTTTCTAGCTTCTTCATTTGACAGCTCAGAACAAGGTGACTCATGCCTCTATGGCATATTTGTACTACATTACTATAGGTCAAAGGATCCTAAATAACGCGTTGATCTCTTCTCTGAGAGCAACCCATTTGTTTCACTCCATTTCCCCACTTGCAATACCACCAAAACCCAGATGACCTCTCAGGTGTCCGATATTTCATTCACACCCTGTAGTGGGACGGGGCTGGCCTGAGGCAGGGTGCACAAGTTTTCTTGTGCGATGTGATATGTGTGATCTCAGCCAGCCCTCAGTGGCTTCCCATCCTAACTGGAATTCCCTTTAGGGACCAGGCCAAGAGTTTTCAAAAGAATTTGGGCGGTAATACACACGAGGAGCAAATTATTGGTTTACTTATTCCATTACACAAACGAGAAGCAACTTTACCAGCACAACAACTGGCTTACAGCATTATGGACAAAGTACAGTATTATAACTCATACTCATTAAGACCAGTTGTACATAGTCGAGTTGTGTTTCCTTTGGTATGGCGTGGTCACGTACCATGTTTGGCCAACAAAACTTTCAAAGTCAGCCTAGGGTTCTCCTCGTTCTCTTTCTATGTGCACATTTGTAGGAATCCACATTGAGATGAAGTCCTGGGGTTCAGGTGCTCACCCACTTTAGGCTGTTCACCCACAGGCGTTTTGTTATGGAGAAAAGCAGCTGTACTTAGCTCTTCTCCCATCCCACAGAAGACATAAATATGAACAAAAATGCAACTTTGTTTAAACCAATAATGTTCTGAGGTTTTGTTATCACAGCAAAGCCTAGCCTATCCTAACTGATATGGACATTTATAAAATATAAATTAAAAACTTGGGTTAAATGGGAGGGACCCTGCTGATTTTGCCATAAATTTTTTATTTATGTTTTTATTTTTAATTTCTATTTTTATTAAGCTTTTATTTTAAAAAGAAAAAAGAAGTCAAAAAGAAAAACAAAATGCAAAAGAGACAAACAACAAACAAACCCAAAAAATAACAATATAGACTTTCAAAACAGAATGAAAAAAATTTAACAATTGTCGTCTTACTACATATTGTTCTTTTTTTAAAGAAAGAAAGAAAGAAAAGAAAATTTAAAAAAAATAGAAAAACAGAAAAAAGGTAGAACAATACAGAATTCAAAAAAAGTTAACATCATAAAATTGCTAGTTGATACATTACACATTGTCATCTTGAAAATAGTTGCCACAGTCACAAAATCAAAGCACAAAAAGGGGCTAGACACTCAAACATTGACAGTGCAAATCCTTCTGTTCAAGGATCCAACAGTAATTCAGTAATATGGTCATGTATCTTACACACTATACATACTGTTATATCCTTTAGAGCACTTTCCTTCCCTTTCACTTTTACAATATCTGTTATACTTTTTGGACCCCATTATTCTGTCAGTTCTTATTATTTTTTACACTAGTGAGACAATGTGAGATTTACTAATGTCAGTCTTGTTAATTTCACTTATGAGGATATTCTCAACTTGCTTCCATTTACCTATAAAGGCCTCAAGATCATCCTTTTTATAGCTGAGTAGTATTCCATTGTATATAAGTACCATATTTTTTTATCCATTCTGTGGTTGATGGGAATTTTGGTTGTTTCCAAGATTTACCTACCACAAACTGTGCTGCCATGAACATGGGTGCACATATATCACTGTGACATGACCTTTTCAATTTTTCTGGGAAAATCCTCAAGAGGGACATAGCTGGATTGAATGGAACTTCCAATCCTAGCTTTTTGAGGAATCTCCATGCTGATTTCCATAGTGGTTGCACCAGTCTGCAGTCTCACCAACAGTGGAGCAGGGTTCCTTTTTCCTCCTGCAGCCTCGCCAACATTTGTTATCAGTTGATTTTTTGATGGCAGCTATTCTTTCCAGAGTGAGATGAACTCTCAATGCTATTTTAATTTGCATTTCTCAAATGAGCAGTGATGGTGAACATTTCTTTATGTATTTATTTGCCATTTGTATATCTTCCTCTGAGAAATATTTGTTCATCTCAGATGCCCATTTTTGGAGAGGGTCTTTGAATTTGGGGGGGCCTGATGTTTTTTAGTTCTTTAGATGTTCTGGATATAAGTCCATTGTTTGAGGGATTGTTAGCTAAAATTCTTTCCCATTCTGTGGGTTTTCTTTTCACTTTGTTGGTGATTTCTTTTGAAGTGCAGAACTTTTTAGTAATATAAGATCCCAGTTGTTGATTCTTTGAAGTGTTTTCTGTGTGGTTTGCATTTTGTGTATGAATTCTTTCCCTCCCCAAAGTCTCCAAGATTTCTATCTACCTTGTCCTCCAGTAGATTTAGTGTTTATGTTTTAATATTTAGATCCTTTATCCATTTTGACTTTAGTTTAGTGTATGGTGATAGGCATGGGTCTATTTTCACTCTTTGGCATGTGGAAAGCCAATTTTTCCAACACCATTTATTAAAGAGGCTATCTTTTTTCCAGTGAACATGTTTAGCCCCTTTGTCAAATACCAGGTGGCTGAGTGTCTTTGTAGTAGTGTTTGTATCTTCTAATCTGTTCCATTGATCTTCAGGTCTGTTTCTTTGCCAGTACCGTGCTGATTTTATTACTGTGGCTTTATAGTATAGTTTCAAGTCAGGAATTTAGATGCCTCCTGCCTTGCCTTTGTTGCCCAGAATTGCCTTTGCTATTCTAGGTTTCTTCTGTTTCCAACTGAATTTTAGGAATATAGTTCTAGAAATATTAGCCAGAGCAATCAGACAAGAGGAAGAAATAAAAGGAATAAAAATAGGAAAAGAAGAAGTTAAATTATCATTATTTGCAGATGACATGATATACTACATAAAGACCCCAAAAACTCCACTAAAAGACTACTAGAGGTAATAAACAAATTCATCAGAGTAGCTGGATGCAAAGTCAATGCTCAAAAATCAAACAGCATTCCTGTACCCAAACAAAAAACTCACTGAGAGAGAAATTATAAGAATATTACCTTTCACAATAGCATCTAAAAAAATGAAATACTTAGGAATCAACCTAACCAAGAATGTAAAAGATCTATATGCTCAAAATTATACTACTATAAAAAAGGAGATTGAAGAGGATATTAGAAAATGGAAGTATATTCCTTGCTCTTGGTTAGGAAGAACCAACATTGTGAAAATGGCCATACTCCCAACACAGTTATACGGATTCAGTGCAATTCCAATCAAAATACCATTAACATACCTTACACATCTAGAGAAAACATTCCTATTATGCAGGTTTTGTAGGGTTTTTTTGCCATTGATTACCAATTTTAGTGCACTATGGTCAGATAATATGCATGGGATAATTTCAATCCTTTAACATTTACTTATATATGCACCAAATACAATTATAAATATATATGCACCTAACAATTATAAATATATGTTCACCAAAACTATATAAGACAAAGACTAATGGACATGAAA